TTCACCAAAAACCAAAACAACACATAAATCCCTTTACTCCTCAAACCTCAAAATCAATCCAACACCAACAAAAATATATATATTTAAAAAAAAATCTATCCATCGTCATCCAAAAAACCCATGGACCCTGAAAAAAAGATTAAATAAAAAAAATCGAACCTCCAAGCACTGAAGCCAGTTATCTCGCTTCCCCAACTCCTCAAACAGTAGAAAACAATGCTCAGTCCTCAAAACCCTAACATACTTCCCCAGGGTCGCAACCAGCGGCTTCTTCTCCTCGCTGGACTTCTTCAGTATCGTGCGGACGAGCTCCTCGGGCTCCGATATCCCACCGAGTCTGGGCGGCGCCGCCCTCCTCCTCGGCAGCCGGCGGCAGCAAAAAGTCACGATTTTTGACGGGTCTTTCTGTGAATTTGAGGGGGAGGATTGGGATGGTTGGGTTTTGGGATGAAGAGGGGTGAAGGGAGGTGGAGAGAGGGAGAGATGAGTGATGGGTTTTGAATGGCATCTTGTCAGCAGAAACGCCATTGGGATTGAAGAGAGCGGCTGGGGTGATGGAGGTGAAGAGGTTGGGGTTCTTTTGCGATGGTTTGTTTTGTGAAGCGGTTTTGTGGTAGAGGATTTTTTTTCGGAGAGGTACGCGAAGAAATATTTTCATTTAGGTGCCTACAATATTTTAATTTTCAAAACTTGTGGCGTGGGTTTATTTGCATATACATACATAGAATTCACGAATTCAAAATATAGAATAAGTTTGTTCAGAATTTGAAAAGGAAAAAAAAGCGGAATTTTTGGGAAATTGAACCCGACGTGAATCGAACACGCAACCTTCTGATCTGGAGTCAGACGCGCTACCATTGCGCCACGGATCCGCTGATCAGTAGACTATCTAATAGTATAAATGTGGTTTTCTTTGTTCCGTTTGGTCAGTTATAGATGTAGACATGTTAAGTCAGAAAATTTTTAGGTAAAATATACTACTCTTACTCATTCAAACATCTTACTCATCTTATATTTCAAATTGAAGAGCAAATTTATTTAATCAACTCTTTTCCAAACTAAAATCAAACTTCTTATCAATTAAAGTATATTAAAATTTTACTATAAGTAATCTTTTCACCTAGACGACGTGAATCGAACACGCAACCTTCTGATCTGGAGTCAGACGCGCTACCATTGCGCCACGGATCCGCTGATCAGTAGACTATCTAATAGTATAAATGTGGTTTTCTTTGTTCCGTTTGGTCAGTTATAGATGTAGACATGTTAAGTCAGAAAATTTTTAGGTAAAATATACTACTCTTACTCATTCAAACATCTTACTCATCTTATATTTCAAATTGAAGAGCAAATTTATTTAATCAACTCTTTTCCAAACTAAAATCAAACTTCTTATCAATTAAAGTATATTAAAATTTTACTATAAGTAATCTTTTCACCTAGAAAAAAAATAATAAAAATTTCTAAACAATTACACTTGACATCAATCAGTTCTGTTATTTCGATTTCAAATACTTCAAAATCGAACCAAATCGAAGTTGTCTAAAACCAAGATTTACCATCCAAAAAATTCATCGGTTTGATCAGTTTATAAGTGGGGACAAAAAAAATGAGAGCATTGCAAGTATAAAATAGGAAAAACTATAACATGCTAATAACTGCTCATTAGCCTATAAATTTTATAAGATATCATCACAAATACAAAAGATCTCGTAGTGTATCATGCAAACTTATAAGCATTAGAAGATTCGGTTTTCAAAATTGCGTTTTCCCACCAGCTTTTGAAAAGCTTATTACGTTTTTGGATTACTTCGAGCTTGATTAGTTTTTGGATTACTTCTAGAGCTGACAGAAGCTTAAACATGATTAACGAAGTCAAAGAAGCAAATATTGTTCTCGATATTAATTAATTCTGCCAGATTCGATATCTAAGAGTCTACATATATAGCCTTGCGATGAAGCTGATGAGTTGATTGAGAGGTTAGGTAGGGCCATCAAATATATGTTCGATTAAGCATGAATTTTGTGATAGGCTTTAATTGTTTAAATTAAATCATATGGACTGTTGTTATTTGTGGCGTAAATGTATGAATTAGTTCTTATGAAAATAAACATGTTATGACTTATGAGTTTAGTTTTGAGCTACGTAAATAATTTGCTAATTCAATTCTTTAAAATAAGTTGTGCTTTTTTTTTTTAAAGTTTTACGAGACAAGTTCGATTCTCTACTTAATTTTGTGATGGCATGATACTGATGTTTTTCCATTGTGTTCTTATAAAAAGATGACTTTGAGAAGCTTTGACTAGTTAAAGAAACTTCTTTTAATTTTGTATTTGTTAAAGGAAACATGCTTTTTCATGCTCTTCCAAAGCTTCATTTTGAATAGAATTGTATAGAACTACGGAAATTAAGTTTTAAATTTTTTGGAGCTATGTGTGAAAATTTATTACAACCACGCAAAAAGACTAAAAAGAAAGGGTATTTCGTCAAAATTATTTAAATAATTATAAGTAACTACACAATTATTTTAAAACTATTTATGTGTCAAACTGTCATCTCCATTATTTTTAAGGACAAGTGTAATTCCTTTTTCATAATTTTTCATAGTAGTCCTTAAAAATTTTCGTATTTTGAAATTATAAAAAAAATTCATATCATAGATTACTCCACCAAAAACTTTAGCGGTTACAAATGATTCCCCAAATATTCAAATATGGAAGTAAGACCACTAAATTTGTTCAATATAACAAAATTAATAAAGCACAAATCTGAAAATTGGTGAAACCTAGAGAGATTATTTCCGAACAATCATAAGGTTTGCGGGAATAATTTAAAAAACTTAATTTCAGGGCCTAATTTCAATTATTTTAAATTGATTATTGCCATAGTGAGTTAAAGTTTAGCTTGAAAAAATAAAACATGTGAAATGAAACAAATATAATTATATTGTATAAAACAAATATAATTATAGCCTTCTAATATATAATGGTACTGGAATATGGAAATCTAATTCCACAAAATTTCAAAACTATATGTTACAAATTAGTGCAACCATGCATAAGAATAAGAGAACGATATTTCATCAAAAGTATAAAAAACTTCGATTATAACAAGTACATAGTTTTTTTTCCTCCAAACTAAGGGTAAATACACAATGAACATAAGAAAAAATACACAAACATCAGATCGCACTAAATACGGTAATCATAATAATAATAATAAAGCTTTGCACAATTAACATACATAAGTACTTATGTTCCATTATACAAACAACACTACTCCGCGCTTCACACGGGTTGAATACTGGTAAGTACAAAATAGGAAAACCTACGAGGTAGTGTGCGCTCATGAGCCCATAAAAGATTATAAAATATCATTACAATTTACGAATACAAAATATCTCGCGGCGCATCGTGCAAAATTATAAGCATTACGGGAATCGGTTTTAAAAATGGCGTTTCCCGCCACCAGCACCAGGGCTCTCACCTCCGTTCTTAACCAACAAACAACCGCTTCTTTCAACTCCGCTATAAGATCCTCAGTCGACCAAGCCCTCTACAAACAAGCCCTCCTCCTCTACCTCCAACTCAAACGAAGCGGGCTTCGACCCGATAACCTCACTTTCCCCTTCGTCCTCAAAGCCTCATCCAAGCTCCCAGACCCCAAACTATCCCAAATGATCCATACCCACGTAGCCAAGTCACGATTCTATTATGATCCCTTTGTTGCCACGGCCATGATCAATCTGTATGTGAAATGTCGAGAACTGACAAACGCAGAGAAGATTTTTGATGAAATGCCTGAAAGGGACGTTACTGCTTGGAATTCCTTGATTCTGGGTTTTTCCGAAATGGGTTTTCTCAATAAGGTGTTGGTTTTGCTTCGGTGGATGAGGTTGGAGAAAATTCGACCCGACTCTCTCACGGTCATAAGTTTAGTTCAAGGTTTGGACTGTGATAAAGAGGTGGGATTTCTTAGAAGTTGTCATTGCTTGGGGATGAGGATCGGTGTTTCTGGCGATGTGTCTGTATGCAATACTTGGATTTCGGCTTATGCCAAGTGTGGGGACTTGGGCTCTGCGAAGTTGATGTTTGGAGAGATTCCGGATGGATTGAGGTCGATTGTTTCATGGAATTCTGTGATTTCGGGTTGTACATATCTTGGAAAGATCGATGAAGTCGGAGATTTGTTGCGAGGTATGAGCAGAGATGGTGTTCGGCCTGACTTGAGCACTGTATTGAGCTTGTTATCTTTGTTTGGTCAGTCTGAATCGATCATAGAAGGTAAGATGATTCATTCTTTTGCTATTAAATCAGCTTTTGGTTCTGATATTTCCTTTGTAAATACATTAATATCACTGTATTCAAAGTGTGGAGATATTGAGGCCGCACGTTATTGTTTTGATATCATGCCGAAGAGAACTTGTGTTACTTGGACCGTACTGCTTTCTGGGTACGCAAAAATAGGAGATATTGATGAAGTTGTTGCTTTGTTTCATGCCATGGAGGCTTCAGGAGAGAAACCTGATGCTGTAACTGTGGTTGCTATTCTCTCTGCTTGTAGCCAAACTGGTAACCTTGAGCTAGGAAAATCAGTGAATCAATATGTGATTTCTAATAAGTTGGAAGAGAATGTTGTGGTTTGCAATGCACTGATTGATATGTATTCTAAGTGTGGCAGTATGGCTGATGCTAGAAGAATTTTTTGTAGAATGCACAACAGAACTATAGTCTCTTGGACTGCGATGATTATGGGTTACGCTTTGAATGGGCATTTTCGTGAAGCTTTGGATCTGTTCTCTGAGATGTTGAGACTACAGATTGAGCCAAATCATGTGACTTTCCTTAGTGTATTTCAGGCTTGTGCGCATGGTGGGTTTCTTGAAAAGGGATGTCACTATTTTCATGTAATGCGAAAAATTTACAAGATAGAGCCAAGATTAGACCACTACTCTTGTATGGTTGATCTTTTTGGCCGCCAGGGGAAATTAAGAGATGCATTGGAATTTATTCAGAGTATGCATATTGAGCCTGATGCTGGTGTTTGGGGTGCTCTACTTGGTGCTTGTATTACTCATCATGAAACTGAAATTGGTGAATATGCAACAAGCCGTTTGTTTGAATTAGAGCCTCATGCAGCAGTGTCATATGTCGGTATTGCAAATATTTATGCTGCAAATGAGAAGTGGGAGGGTGTAGCAAAGGTTCGGGCGATGATGAAACGAGAGGGAGTTAACAAATTGCCTGGTCAAAGTATTATTCAGGTGGATGGGAGGGGTCATGTATTTACTGTTGAAGATAGAAGCCATCCTGAAGGGTTGTTGATATATGATACATTAGATGGTTTGGCTTTGCACCTGAAGGAAAAAGATCGCCAAAGGGAACTTGGAAGTTTTTGATAAGAGGCATTTGAAGTTTACTTATTACTTGCCTATGCACTATACTTTCTTGGTAGCACCCATTTGAATCTACACTGTATAGGTCTTATTCTCTGAGGTAAGTGATTATACTTGACTAGAAATTCAACTTTTCGCCTGCAAGTTCTAATTTTATGTAACTATGAAAAAAAAATATTCCTCTAAAGATCATATACTTCCAATAGTGAAATAACTTCAATGGCAACCTCGTGTTGCATCTTCTGTACGAGTAGCAATCTGGCATTTTACTTTGACCTTGAACTTACAGCCATGACTTTGGATCCACTGGCAAGAATTGTAAGGCCGTGAAAAAAACTGAAGAGGTCAATATCACATCGAAGTCTTTTGTGGTTTTATATATTTGATGTACCCTTGGCCGCATGAAGGATATAAATGAGAACATTGTGCATTGGCTACTCATCGGAAATAAATAAATAATTGAACTTATTGTCTTATCCTGCACTCGCAATGGTCACAATGAATTGAAAAGTTCACGATATGCACAGTTTTTGGTCAAGTTCTAAACAACTATGCGATGAAAAATCCTAGTGACAAGTACTAACCCGTTTATCTTCATATTGCTACTCCCTAAACAAAGATACGGATAAATTAAAAGAAGGTTTAAAAAGCTTCACCGCTACTGTGTTCAAGAAACAAAAGAGTGTCTTGACTAGAAGAGATGTCAACCATTGGGCGTAGTGCAGCTTTCTAGAATTTCACCATTTGTATCAGTTATTAATGTAAATTGCACTTTCACCATAACGAAGTGGAGAATATTTGAGCCAAACGATGAAGCAAGGAACAAATCATTAATTGGCTGGGATGCAGCAATTTTAGCTGTATCATTTTGGTTTTAGCCAATACATGTCAGACTGGGGCAAAATCTCAGCCAGTTTAAGCCATGTTTCAGGTCTTCAGTCATTTGCAGTTGTGCGTTGCCATCCATGTTCGCTGGTTCAGCATGTTTCGGACTGTGTCACTGGAAACAGCCTGATACATGTCTAATTTCTAATGGAATAGGTAATGTATGTATCCAAAGAAAGGGCAGCGAGTGCTAGTTCTCCCTAAAGAGAGGAGATTTCATGTGCACGAGAAAATTAAGCAAAACCTTATGTTCCAGGTTGTTTGGGATTTGCTGGATTTCCAAAACCCTGATCCTCTCTTAAAAAGCTCCCTGGTTTCCAGTACAACTGGAGATGCTAACAACGAATGACCTCGCATAAATATTCCTTGGCACTCTCTTGTCTTCTTTTTAAATGCTTGACTTCAAATCATGATCATTTCATGGAGCCTCAGAAGTCATTGACTTGATGGAAGAACATATAAAGTATGGCTAAATACCCATATTGGTATTTTAATTCAACCTCATTTGCCAACAAGGTATTTTAATTAGGAAATTCGGCGATAAGACATTTTAATTAAATAAAATTACCATTTAGGTCCTTTTTCTTGTCGGCGGCCACTTTTCCGGCGAGAACTCATCACGTGTGTTGCATGTGGGGGCTTAATCTGTGTTTAAGATGCTGATGTGGCTCTGTTTTCTGACGTGGCAGGAATAACCCCAAATCGCATTCAACTCCAAACAAAACCCAACAAACTAGCTTCAGTCTCAAATCAAAAAAAGAAGATGAATAGCTCACTATAGAGTATCGGGAGGCCGATGATGGTAACGCTCCACTCGAAGATGCTGCTGTCATCGACGAGGCCAGCAGAGAATCCATCCACAGGCAATTTCATAAGATCTGATCGGAAAAAAAAAGTTCAAATTTTTTGGGTGAAGAATTGGATTGAGAGAAATCGCAGGGATCGAATCGATCTTTACCTTTGAGTTGCTTGTGGAGGAGCAGGCTCGCTTGGCTTGGAGCGGCCATTGATGAGAAAGAGAGGAGAAGGGAGACCGCTGTTTGACGCTTATAAAAGGAGAGAAGTTTTTAGAGGGTTATTCTCCTTGCCATGTCAGAAAACAGAGCCACATCAGCATCTTAAACACAGATTAAGCCCCCACGTGCAACGCACATGATGAGTTCTCGCCGGAAAAGTGGCCGCCGACGAGAAAAATGACCTAAATGGTAATTTTATTCAATTAAAATGTCTTATCGCCGAATTTCCTAATTAAAATACCTTGTTGGCAAATGGGGTTGAATTAAAATACTTCCTAATTAAAATACCTTGTTGGCAAATGGGGTTGAATTAAAATACCAATATGGGTATTTAGCCTATAAAGTATAGATTCGCTATAAATGATTCTTAAATCATGACAATCAACATCAGATACATAATTGTGTATCTCTTGTCATATTTTGTTTGAAGCCGATTTCTTGCATTATTATCCCATCTCTTTCATTCTACCTACAGGGTCATTTTCTCACCTTAATATACTAGACGTGGAAGGAAATTCAGAAACAAGATCAATATTTCTGTGAAATTCTTCGAGTGGATCATGCTCTCAATATGCGCTCAAATAAAAACCCACCAGGCAGCAGTTGATGATAAGAGTCCAATGCTATTATTTCTTGTTCCTTTGATCATCTTCCATCTAGAAGTTTTGTAATCTTTCGTTTAAATTTATTTTATTAGCTTATAGTTTCGTAACTTCTGGTATGCCTGGGTTGAAATCAAGCTAATTTGCTATAATTTAGGTCTATATGTCGATCCTCTGACAGAAGAATTTCCAAACAAGAAACCTGGGCGGCACCGATACTGAAGTTTGATGTCATTAGTAGAAGGATTTCTACAGTCACTCGCCATGTTGTCTTTTGACTTCAAGAGTTGTAAAATCCTTTTTCACTGATATGTTCTATTTTTATTAGAGAGAGTTTAAATTGAGAAACTTTGGAATAACATCCAACACTTCCCTTACTCTCGAACCATTTCTAACTTCCGCAACAGCTTGTCACATTACCTGCAGCAGCAGAAGCGGGAAAGTGCAAATTGAGGATCGAGATGAACGGCTTATTGTTATTAGTGTTATTATTATTATTTATTTTTTTGTTACTTAAAGCTACTTTTGTTATTTAAATTAGATCCATAGAATCTGTGATACTTTTCAGATATGCGTTATTCTCTTATCGTTTGTATTCAAGACAATTTTTGTTCTTTCTAAGATGCAATGGAAAACAGGAACCCTCATCAGGTCCTTTATTCAAAAAAAGCTTACGCGTCCTTCTCTTTTCATGACTGTCTTCCACTACAACAGATTGCTTAATAGCTATCATAAATCTCCAGCAAAATAATAAGGGCGGCGCCAAAGAGCAAGTATAGTATAAGCAGAGAAAAAAGTGAGGCTACAAAGTCTCTGTCAGCTAACAAACATGGAACCCGCAATATTGTGTTCAGACCTGAAGTAGAAACGGATGCAACTAAAAGCCCAGGAATCAAATAGAGTAAGTTCTTCGAACGGGGAAATAATGAACAGTGACAGTAAATTCTTCAATGTAAGAATGATTTTCTCTCAACACAAACCACAACCAATCAACAAATCAACGGATCAATCTTTTCTTTACACTAACATCAAAAGCCAGCCTTGACTTAAAAAGGCCAAAAAAAAAAACCCAGGTAAAAAAAATGGGAACTCATCCAATTTCATGTACAGAGAAGGGGGAAAAAATCTCACACAGTTATAGAACAGAGATCATCTAACACTGTTCTTATGTTAGGCCTGTCATTTACAGGTAGAATACACTTGAGAGAAACAGCAAGCAGTTCATCCATTGCCTTCGGAGCTTCCTCCAACCCAGCAATCTCCCTATCAAAGCAATCTGTTCCCCTACCTTCTCTGGTGCACATTTGAACCCAATCAGTGAGATCTACAGCCCCAGACTGGCCTGAAATAATATCGCCAGCACTTCTTCGAGTTAAGAGCTCCATTAATATCACACCAAAGGCATACACATCGGCTTTAAATGAGGGCAGAGGTTTGGTTGTTTCTGCCAGTTCTGGTGCTCTGTAGCCGAGTGCTCCCAGATTTAGTATTTGCTCAGCAATGCCGTTTGGTGTGAGAAGACGATGAAGGCCGTAGTCAGTTAGCCTAGCAGAGAGCTCAGGGCCAGTTAGAAGTATGTTTGTTGGCTTTAGATCACCATGAGGCAAGGCTTTGTCATTGTGGAGATGGTGTAAACATCGAGCCATGTCGATTGCAATTTTCAGCCTTTGGTTAACTGAGAGCCTGGAGTATCTTCTTGGGGTTGACTCTGGATATTTGACAAAAATGAAATAAAATATCAGAAGTGGAAGTTGTCGATAAATGAAATGCATTCATAAGCAAATGCCAAGTTAAGGAACAAACACCATCAGTCCAGTGGATGTGGGAAAACTAATTTAAGAACAAGAGCTTGAATTTTAAATTGCAATTTCAAAGGACAGAGAGTTTGGCCAAAAAGATATACATCATAAATGAAAGAAGTTTTTTTCACCTTTAAATCCAAAATTTTACCCCCCATTTATCTTTAAACCCAAATACTTCTATATATATTGATAAACCCAAACGGCTATCTCCATTTACCTTTAGACCCAAAATGCCAAATATACTCATACATTCATAATGTATCCCTTAAAAAGAAATAAAATACCCAAAATGCCCTTATCCCCTTCCCTTCAACAAAAGAACTCATTCTCCCATGGCACCCTCCTTCCTCCTTTGCCTCCAATTCTCCATTCACCGCTGTCGCCACCTCTTCACCGTCACTATATCCTCCTCCTCCTCCTCCTAGCTACACCTTCTCCGCTTCCACATTCAACTCCTCCCAAAATCACCCTCCCTCCACCTCCTTCCATCTTCCCCTTCCTCCACCTGTCTCCCTCCTCTATTTTGTTGATATACTTACTGTATTTCTTATTATACTTGCAGCATATGTTGCTATACTTATAGGTGTTGTCGCTATACTTGCAGATTATATTGCTAAACTTATAGGTTTTGTTGCTATACTTATGTGGCTATGCTTACAGGCTTTAAGACCCCTTATGCATTTCATTGCTATACTTGCATGTTTTGTTGTTATACTTGTAGATTTCTTGATATACTTACAGAATATGTCGTTACACTGATTTTTACGCGAGCTGGTGTCCAGGAGGTGAAGGAGAGGGAATGTTGGTGGAGGAGGACGAAGTGGTGGACAAGGTAGAAGAAGGCCCCGATGAATAAGAGGAGAGAAAGATGGGAGGAGGGATGGAGTGATCACGACAGAGGTTAGAGGAGTAGGTGGAGAAGAGAGGAAGATCCCATTAGAGGATAATAGGTTCTTTGTTACAAAGGAGAAAAGAGAGATAAAGGGCATTTTGGGATTTTTGTTATTTTTAAGGCATCTTTATGTATATTTCGTATTAGATACTTTTGAGCTTAAAGGCAAATACAATAATTGTTTGGGTTTATAAGTATAGATAGAAGTCTTAGAACTATGTGTTTAAAAATAAATGGGAGTAAAACTTCGGGTTTAAAAGCAAAAACCCAATGAAAGAATCAAGACATTTCGATTTGTTCAGGGGCATAACGGGTATACAAAAGTAACAGAATTTTATTGCACTAAGCATTTCAACTGAATTCTAAACGAATATCTGATATAGTCCCTATTATTAGTACAAATTTTTACTACTTTTATGCCTAAATATTATATATAACCTTGCCCAGATCAACATATACTTAAATTTCAAAGAACAATGCCGTAGATACATCAAGGATATTCTTTCTAAACGATACACGAATGAGCTGTGTGAAGCAACAACAAACAGAATAGATGTTTGAATGGTTTGCTACAACTAAGTGTATACTTTTCACAGATTACTACGCTTCAAGGTTAACTTAACTTAGTTATTGACAAGCTATGTCTATAGAGTTACAGTAATGAACCAAGCTATTACCTTCTTATTCACATGGTTAACCGCAAAATATTGATCTTATAACCATGTATGCTCTTCAACTAGTCTCAGAGTAAATTACAACAAAGATAAATGAAAGCAAGCAAGGATATACAAGGCCTAAAATGTTTTTTGATTGCACATCACCACCTCCATGCTTGTCAGTAAAAGGTGTGATTACTGACATGTACTCAACTCAAGTAAAGATCCTTCCACTAACTATCTGGGATCATGCTTTAAATTTCTTTGTCCAACCTATTAAATTAAAAGAAACATCTGACCGTCCCAGCACGCTCTCTCCCTTCTTCTAACTTCCATAGTTCCATTTATTAATTTATTTATTATTATTACTTTTTTTGGCACTTAACCTTCTCCTCCTCTCTGCCAACATTTGTTCAAAAAATTCTGGCTCCCTTCTTTATCGAACCTTCCTTAGATCAGTGCTCTCCCTGTTTTTGTTACATGTGACATCAAGAAGGGGGGAAACACCTACTCCTAAACTAAGGTTTTAAATATCGGATATCGGGGAAATATCGGATGGTCAAAATTCATATCGGATTGCGGATATCGGGGAAATATCGGGGATATGTGGTAAATATCGGAATGTCATAATGATGAATATTTGCATACATAGTATAATGCATTAAAATGTAATCTCAACATATGTAATGAAATTTAAACAAACAAAATATGAATAATATATGTTTAGGATCACTAGTCAACCTTCAACAAACAAAAGTGCAAAGCAACGTTACAACATTCAATCTTCTTTTTTAGGGAAAAATGTCATTTGATATAATGAGAAAATCTTGATATCTCGCCCAAAACATCCAAACACGGTATATTATTTTGCAACAAACTATATAAAAAGATATTGGTCCACATATCGGCTAATATATCGGTCATATCGGGGATTTATCATTCAAAATAGTCAAAAAGCGGTAAAAGATATTTAAAGACCATATCGGTTACGGTAAGTCCTGTCAAAGGATATATCGGGGGATATATCGGGGGATATATCAGGCCATGTCGGAGATATTTAAAATAATGTCCTAAACTACATTTTTTTGTAACCTCCAACCGGTAAATTACTTTCCGATATTTTCTCATAAGCTTGTGTTTTTGTCTCCTTTCTTATAAGTTTATTTCATACAAACTCAAGTACTTCAGTTTTTTGTTTGTACATCACCAAATAACAGCCGACCCCAAGTATTTGGGATAAAAGATTTTGTTGTCATTGTTGTACATCACCTAATGAGACTAGCTACAACCTTTTAGCACTGTATGCCTATCATCTATGAAGCACCGACACGCGAAAACAAGCCCCGAGTCCGTGTCCGACGCGTGTCGGACGCGGACACGCGTTCGACACGCGTTCGACACGCGTCGGACACGCGGTCAATGCCGCCGACACGAGTCAACGCCCCGACTTGCTCCCGACACGCTCCTAACACGACTCACTCGTTCCCGACACGGCTGAGAGGGCAAAAAAAGAAAAAACCCAAAACCCGAAACCCAAACCCTAGTTTTCACAAATCCGATTGACCCATCCTCTTTCTTTCTCGATTCTGACACGGCTGAAAAGAAAATGCCACCACAAGTTATAGATCTCTCTCTCTCAATCGGCTCGTCCTCATCGTCATCCTCGTCGGCTTGTCCTCTCTCCATTGATCTCTCGTCGACTAGGTCACACACACTCTCTCTCTCTGATTCTTCGTCTCTCTCTCCCTCGATCTCTCGATCTTTCTCTCTCCATCTCTCCCTCGATCTCTCGATCTCTCTCTCCGATCTCTTCCTCTCTCTCTCTCTCTAATCCTCTCTCTCTCTCTGATCCTCTCTCTCTCTCTCTCTCTCTCTCTCTCCGATCTCTTCCTCTCTCTCTGATTCTCTCTCTCAGTCTCTCTCTCTCTCGATCTCTCTCCCCCTCCGATCTCTGATTCTCTCTCTCCGATCTCTTCCTCTCTCTGACTCTCTCATATATATTATTTAAAAAATCGAGCCGTGTCGCCGTATCCTATTTTTTTGGGTTTTGCCGTGTCCGAGTCCGTGTCGCCGTGTCCGTGTCTGTGCTTCATAGCCTATCATTTAGGTGAAAGGACATACAAAATAAAATAACAGAATTTATCATAGCAAACATATTAAATCAAAATGGAAAACATAATGGTTCAGCTTAAAAAAAACAGTCTATACTAATAATATCTACAATACACCTCACCTAAAGTTCAATTGTATTTCTTATATGGATATTTTATACAATATATTTCAAGAACATGAACTTGGGAAAATTCTTATGACCATAGAAGGCCACGGTTAATATTATGCACTAAGAGTGTACTTGTGCAAATGGTTGAGTAAAATAAGTAAGCTAAAAGAAACGAAGATAAATTCAAATGAATTTGATATTCATTTAAATTCCTGATGATAATTTTTTTCCAAAAATAACAGCATATCAGCAAATAATCCATGCATGTATCTCTTATTTGTTAACAATCCTCAGGCATGCTTGGAAGAAACATTCAAAGTTCCTCAAGTTCACAAATTAAATAAAAATTTTAATAGAACAAAAACTAAGGCGGAATGCCATATTTTAATCTCTTGGCACTTCTGTGCCTCAAACTAGCATTCCGTATCTTTGCTGCAAGACACACTGTGAGGTAACCTCACCCTTCTAGGCCCCTTCACAAGGGGTATCTACACTTAAGCTCCAATTTCCGTAATGACTAGAACATTCAAATGACGTATCAAGAAAGCAGGAGAAAATTTAGCTAGGTCCATGGGGTCTAAGTTCAGTTTAAGGTTTCTTGCATAGCTACTACTAGTGATTACATTCTTGTGCTTTCAATTTCCCATATTTCCTTCACATCTTACCTCTAGAAAGACCAGGTTAATTTTAATTGATTTGACTGGTTCGATCAGCTTTACATTTTGAGTTGAACTTCAGTCTGTTAGGAATCTTGACCCCAATATTTGTTTTGATGATAACAAATATTATATGTTGTGTATTATGTGCTAACATTTGTTTTACAGTATTAGAGCTATATCAACAATTATATTCAAAGAGATACTCAAGACATAGATGAGTTCCAGGCAAAATGAAGCAAAGAAGAAGATATACTTTATTGTCAAAATGTAATTTTTCATTTTCTTTGCTTAGAAATTTGTACAAGCCTTGATCACTCACACACATGCACACACATAGTGTTAGAACATACTAATACATACTTAGTGTGTTGGTTAACAATAGAAATCCCCTATGTTAGCCATTAGAGTTTATAGATATTGAGTGAGTCTTAAAATATTTTATAACCCTTAGCAGTTCGAATCTGAAAAAACTCAAAAGACCAAAGTTGTAGGTCTCTTCAACAGCTTTCCAACAAATCTTAAATCACCTCATTCCGAGGTCGGATGAGAAAGTTACAGACAAAATACTAAAAACAGAATTCCAGAATCTGAGTTTACAGTATAGTCGACTAATATGCCTTGTAGTCGACTACTAAGTAATTTTCTGACTTCACAGAGTCTGTTTAGACTCAGTGTAGACGACTACTATGACTTATAGTTGACTACAGATGTAGTTTTTTCAGATTTTAGGTTTTGAATAAGTGACTGTTTATAGCCGTTTTGTGAACTTTAATTGGGTTTAAAATTATATCATTTCAGAGGCTATAAATAGGTTTAAACATCAAAAAACAAGCACCAAGTTTTGCACTTGTAAGATTCACATATTGTGCAAATTAACTCTCTAAACTTTTAGTTTTTCGATTTGTTTTTCCATAAAAGAGTTTCTGATATTGCCTTTGTTCATATCATTCTTAGAGCTTGCTTAGGCAATATTCAGAAAGTTAAAAAGATTGATAAGCCACTGTTACACGTTCACATCCACATCAAAGCTTATAGGATTGGAATTGTACATTGCTTTAAAATGTTCTCTCGGTTTATGAAAGAGGTTGATCTCTTGATCTAGAGGTCGGTTTACAATTGGAATGGTGTTGTCAACTGGGTTTGCAAGTTGCATGATCTTGCAAATTAGTCAGGTTTGCTTTTGATTTTGTAATGTTTCAAAATCATAGTGGAAACTCTCAAGCGGGATTTGCTTGAGGACTGGATGTATACCGGGGAGGTGAAACCAGTATACATGCTGGTGTTTATGATGTTCACTTTCCGAGATTGACATTCTTTCTTTGCAATTTATAATCTATTTTGCAAACGCACCCTCTAGTGTTTAAGTGTAAAGCTTCTGCAAATTTTTTATAAGAGCACACTCTATTCTTAAGGGTCACGATCCTACACTTGGTATACATAAGCAAAATCAGACCCTACACAATCAACTGTGATTTAGTCCAACTACACCAAATCTGTAAGGTCCATGATCTAGTTGGCCTCCCAAATCCAAGAACTAATTGGTCCAAATAAGAACATTAGGACAATTTGGCAAGGGGAATTTTTGGTTTTGGTATAATATCAAAGAATATGACAAATTGATAGGACAATTAGAAAGTGAAGGTGATGGTACATAACAAGCTAACCCATTCGGTTGGATAATGTGAGTTTCTCTCAAATGGCTGAGTTCTTAGTACACCATAAGAGTAAGGAATGGAAAGGAAAAGAAAAGCTAAAAGGATAAAGAACAAAAAAGGGGGATCATTTACGTTCCTCCCCAAATGAGGAAGAACTTACAGAATATTGGCTGAAGACAGTTTCATGCCTTGAGATTCTAGGAAGCAATTTGCGGAAGAAAACAATTTATAAAAAAAACATAGTTAAAGCCAAAAAGAGACTCAAATATTAAACATCTCTATGTCTGGAGCAACCCGATACTCGTTAAATGTTGAGTATGATAAACATTGACATAATAAACAAAACAATGCGCTTCTTGTCAGGACAGGCACACTCAATAAACAGAGATCCTAAGTTAAGGACTAGTTTAAGCTACTGAAAGAAACTCTTGTGATCTTAAATGCATTTAAAATTCAAAGCTTAAGAGGGATCAAACTAAAAAGAGCAAAAGATACTAGATTTGAATGGGAACGCTAAAAGTAAAGAGCATTAGTCAATATAGGAAAATGTTGAGATAAACCGAGCAGCTTACCATAAAGATAAAGTGCCAAACTCTCGCCATTAACATAGTCAGATACAATCAACCTTTCTTGCTCCCTTGGACCCAAGTAGTAGCCCTTCCAGGGGACAATATTCGGATGTCTAATGGTTCCAACTCTTTTAGCTTCTTTAGCAAACTCTTTCTTGTTCTTCACAAGACCAACCCTTAACCACTTGACAGTCAACATATGACCACTATCCAGTGTTGCTTTATATGATGTTCCATGGCTACTCCTGCCAAGAACCTCTGCTGGAGCACGAGACAACTCTTCAGCTGTGAAAACTAAGGAGTTGTCCAACAAGAATAACTCTCCAGCCAACCTGTCTGGTGAGTAAACATCCAGCAGAACAGGCTGCTCAAGCATCCGTGGATCAATAAGACGAGGTGAAGAAGATAATGGAGGCTCTGAGGAAGACTTGCGTCCTGGCTGACCCTGTTCCAAAGTATCAAGTTTACAGCCTTCCTTTATATCAGAAAAACCATATTCCACAGTTTCAGTTAATAACTCTTTCTGAGCAGACATTGATCTAGAACCTGAAGTTAGTAAGTGATCATTAGAAAAACTCATGGAAGTTTGCAGAGTATCCTCTTTTGGAGTTCTAAACATAGCAGGGGGACCAAATACTCCAAGCTTAGCATCTCGTCCAGTAGCACGGTCTCCAAACCTGTTTCTTCCACAAATTTCTTGTGATCTTAACTTATAGAATGCCATGAACACAAAGAAAATCAGCAAGACAGCACCAATAGAACCAACAATATATGCTACTTGAAAGCTAGACTTGGAAGTCCTCTGTTGATGACTCACATTGTCAACGACTCCACTGCTATTTTTTCCTCCAGGTGTTGAACCTGGGAAAACTAGTAGAACGTTTCCAGGATAAAAAGAGGAAGCTGGAAATTTTGTTAAACTTTCAGGAACAATGCCTGAAAGGTTATTGTATGAAACATTAAATTGCTTGAGACCCATTTGAGGCATGTCCGGAATCATACCGCTGAAGTTATTCCCAGATAGGTCAATATAATCCAACTCACCCAGCTTGCTTATCTCATTTGGCAGCTCTCCAGACAAGTCATTGCTTCGCAGATTGAACAATTTAAGCTTTTGCAGCTTACCGATTTCCGCAGGCAAGGAGCCAGTTAACGAATTATCAGATAAATCAAGGCTGACCAAATGAGGATAATAAGGCAGAACAAGTGACTCTGTAGAACGCGAGGTTTGTATTGGAATTGTTCCCGTCAGTTGATTTCCAGATAGATTCAAAGCTGTCAATGTTAATGATGCCATAAGGTTTGGCAAAATAGGTCCACGGAGTTTGTTTAAACTAAAATCAACTACAGATAATCTTGGATATCTTCCTAATACAGAAGGAAGAGAACCAGTAATAGAATTATTTCGAAGCACGATAGATATTAGATTCCCAAACTGTGATGTCTCATTCGGATAGCTTCCTGATAACAAATTTGAACTCAAATCAACAACCTCCAGCGTACCTCCCCAGTTCTGAATCACAGACAAGTCATCAGATATCATGTTTTCACTCAAATCAACGACCGTACAGCTCCCGGTGCTAGAAGGCAGTGAACCTGACAGTGAATTCGTAGAGAGGTTCAAAACCTTTAGATTTGTTGAGTTGATAGAGTGGATAGAACCTGCACATGTTACAGGAATTTAGTAGCTAGTATATAACAATTGCTCTCAGAAGTGCAAAGTGATTATACATCATCACAATGAATCTAATGATGTTCTCGAGCTGATGAGCAGGAAGCTACTGTGGGACCAGTAAAAAAGAAACAAAACCAGCTTTCAGCATTTACTGAATTTCAATCCAAAGTTCTGTTGAAAGCAATTACAACACAGTACACACAGTTGGAAGTAAGGATATCTACCACCTTAACTACATAATTAAAGTTCATGCAAGACTTCAAACGATGTAAAAGAGAAGATCAAAAGAGCTGAAATTTGAACAACATCCACATTTGTGGGCACAAAATTATTGGCAACATATTTCCCTAGACTCGTCATGAACATGAAGGCTACTACTGGATTAAAGGTTTCAGATGTAAGGGCTACAAAGGAAAATATTTTGTGAGGTGCAGAAGAAAAATATCAGTGAAGATGCATGGAAACATCAATATGTGATGCAACCAATAACGCTCTGAATTATTGAAATCACTTTATATGTAATGATGTAAGGTAGCAAGACAGCAATATTCTTGCTGTGCAATGATGTGACATAACAAGTACAGTAACATCCTGTCGTCCTCAATCTCAGTTAGATAATACTTTCTGACTTCTTTCAGCAGTTATTATGGTTCAAAAGGTGCAAAAGAGGAGCAATGCACCATCTATTTTCTTCAAGTTAGACAAAGCAACCGCTAGTGTTGTCATTATTTACTTCAGAATATCTTGATGAGCTATCACCATAGCAAAGTTACCGGCGAGATATTGTAGGCATAAAAAAATTTGCCTATAGGTTCTCGCACACAGCTCGAGATGAAGAAAAGACGATGAATGTTATTATCTGAGTTAAAGGAGATCATCCGATACTGTAGATAAGCTAAAAAGCACATGAAGTAAGTCGGCGAAGTGTACGAGTCTGTGAAACACACTAAACGATAAAGGAACAACTCAACCGGGAGTTGTGCTTCGCCCACAAATCTGAAAAAGTTCAAAAGACAAAAGTTGTAGATCTCTTCGTCAACTTTCCAACGCATCTTGGATCATCTCATTCCGATATCAGATGAGGGAGTTAGAGCCAAAATACCCAAGACAGTACAAACTGTCTCGGAAGTGCGAGACACACAGCCCTGTCTCGGCTACAGAGTTGCTTACAACACGTTTTTTAACGGTTTTTTGATTTCATAGCTGTTTGAGATCAACCATAAACGTGAGGAGACAGTTACAAACTGAAAATAGGCCCACTAACCACATAAAAATATGGTATTTAAGTAGTGGGACGGCGGTTACAAAAGAGGAGGGAGCATTTTTTAGAGCAGATCCAAGAGGACAGAGAGGCTATTACTGGAGCAATTGGGCAGAGATTTTTAAAAAGGCTTGGACAAATTTCAAGAGTTCATCTCCTTTCAATAATTGGGAGGTTCCTTAAGATCTAAGATTTGACTTGATCTTAAGAAGAGTGTTCATCTTACTTCGATAAGATATTCACTGAAACTATTCTTGCTTCTAAACGAAAGAAGAATCCTCAAATCCTTCACGATTCAATCAGAATTCGTGATTCGGTGGTCCACGGGCTAACACACCCCCGGCACAGGCAAAGATCCCGCGCAAGCAGCGATCCAAACAACGATCTTGCGCTTGTTTCTAAGGAGCTTGTAATTTGATTTTTGTTATAAAGAGTAATTTTACTAAGTACAAAGCTCACTCGTTTGTATTCATTGTAATTGATAAACAATTATAATAAATTCTACAATAGAACTTGTTCCTGATGCAAACAAACTGGCGACCACAGTGGGAGCTTAAAGAAAAAGACATTCAGACCATGCCATGATTTAAAAACTTTCCTGAATGAGAAGACACTGCTCAACTAATGCTGATTTTTCAATTTGTTAGGTAAAGTTTGACATAAAAGGACTCTAATCTTGTCTATTTTTTGTGCTAGCATTATTCACGGTTAACCATGCATTATAAATAAGTATGACCTAACACAAAAATGACTTGTAGAATCGGTTAGTCCTCAAAATCTTACAAATTTGGAATGCAGGAACCAAAAAATAACCGTCATTGTCAACAAATGAGAAATAAACTATTTAAAGCTAATATTTGCATACAATTAGACATTTATCCATACCCTTTCCAAGTCCATCTGACAACTAGTATGCAAATAACCAATGCTAATTGAACCCAAAAAAAGAAACAAAGCAAATGGTCAAAGCTGTGAGCTAAACGGTCAAGCCAGCATCTAGACTTCAGGAAATTATTTTCTTTCTTGAATTTTTCTCTTTTCCCCCTTTTTTTTAAGGCTCGGAACAAAACAATACAACAATAACCGAGATACAATCCTACATTTAAGATAAATATCAAACTCATTTTCAAAAAAAAAATAGCAGCAAAATTACCTGTAAACCCATTCTTACTGAGATCAATCTCTTCCAACTGCACTCTACTCTCAAACAACCCCTCCGGTATCGGCCCATACAAAAAATTGCTTCCGGCCCTCAAAACCTTCAAATTCGACATAGAACCCAACTCCGGCAGCTCTCCGCTCAGCTTATTCAACCCCAAATCCAAAACCTCCAAATTCCTAAACAACCCTACATTCTTACCAAACCCTCCAAAAATCTGATTCCCACTCAAATTCAAGTACTTCACCGTACTCGCCATGGCCGAGAAATTCACCGAATCCAGGAAAAACTCACCAAAGAACTGATTCCTACTCAAATCTACATGCTCCACATTCCTCAGCTGCGAAAGGAGAACCTTCACATCTCCCCAGAACCTATTCGATCTGAGATCCAAAACCCTAAGCTGCTGCAGATTGCGGATCTCGGTCGGGAAGCCGCCTTCAAAGTCGTTATGCGAGAGATTCAAGTGAACGAGGTTGTAGAGATCGGCGATTCGGGCCGGTACCGGGCCGTAGAAGCGGTTACCAGAGAGGTCGAGATACTGGAGGGAGCGGATCAAGCCAACGGAAGGGACTAAGCGGCCGCTGAAGCTGTTGCCGCTTAGGGTTAGGGTTCGTAGGTTCGGCATTGAGGTCAGGGTCGAGAACTTGAGCTCTCCGGAGAGGTTGAGGCCGGAGAGCGAGATGGAGACGACGGAGGCGCCGGATTCGTCGCAGGTGGACGACCGGTGCCAGGAGGCGGGGGCAGCGCTCCGCCGCCCGCCAGCGAAGGAGGAGGGTCCCGGTCACCGACGTCAGGAGGCGGTGAACAGACGGCGAAGGGTCCGGATTGATCCCCTTCTTGAAGCTCTAAGAGGGAGGGGCGGCGGAAACGTCGGGGGAAAGGGCTGGGCGCAGAGGGCGAGGCGAGGGGACAGGAGAGGAGAGAGGAAAGAGATGGGGAATCATTTTTTTGGGGGGGTTTTTATTTTCCCGATAGGGGGAACCGGTATTTCCTCAATCTCCTGCTCTCGTCTCTTTCCCGTCTCTAAAGGGGTTGGGCCATCGGAGGTAGGAAGAAGAAGAGAAAGTTCAAGGGAGTGGGAGTGGTTTTTTTTGTTTAAAAATGAGGGGGGGGGTGGAGGAGGAGAGGGGAGCGTACAGAGAGAGGGGGGGGCACAGACTGTAAAGCGTCGAGGGGTGGAGTAGGATTGGGCTTTTTTTAAAATAAAATAAAAAAGAAACGGGGGGTGAAGCCAGCAGCGCACCCGCACAAGGGACGTGGGGCCCCTCCTCGGTATCTTTTTTTTTTTTTTCTGGAGAAACATTTGTAGTATAATAAATACCTAGAGTGAGAATTTAATCATAATGCTTTGCCTATACAGTGGGCATTTTGAAATGAGAAAAAAAAATTATAATAATTATGCATGTTTATCTCTTGATTAGTCTCTTTTATAAATTTCCAAAGATAGATGATACTTGATAGATATTTCCTCACTTTTTTGGAGCAAGAGTGGGTATTTGTTTAATTACTCCACTGATTTGATGCTAGCATATATGAATGGAATGTTATTGTGGCTTGATATATTCTAGAAAGAAATTATCTTCTTTCCTGTTTTTGTGACGAATAGTCCAGTCCATATATGGTGATTTTTTTATGCGTTTCTTATTTTAAAATTAAGAATTTGGAAAGGCAACATTTTGTTCCAGTTTAGAGTCTGCCCACCTTACTTTTGAACAAAAATGACTTAAATCTCATGAACTTGAGGCAAGAAATCACCTCATCCATTTCCAACTGAGAACCAAACTTCGGTAATTAACCCACCCTTTTCTTATGAGTTCAATGACTTGCATCCTATTACCACTGCTTCTTAAAATCCTTAGAACTATTTTGAATAATAGAGTAGCCATGAACTGTCAATATTTGTACAATTTTTTTAATATTTACCGAAAATATGTACCTTAAAATTTTATGAAAATTCATTACCTAGCTTATTGCTTTTACTTTTTTTACAATGTAAAAAGTATACTCATAGATGAAGCTTTAGTACTTTACAAAAATAAGAGTTCCTCCAGCAATTAAGCAGTAGACAACACTATCGTAGATGATAGTGGTGGAGCTATATTGTGTCTAGCGGTGTCACGAAAAACCGTTGGCTTTCCCACTTCAGAGGTGTTTTTATTTATTTATTTATACTTCTATTTACTATTTAGGACGCCACGGAGATCGTAATATAATAGGATGAACATATGTAATAATCAGTACAAACTTTTAAATACAATCATGATAAGTTATACAGGGACGTCATTGACATAAAATCCTGACTCCGCCGCTGACAAATAAAATAAATATCACTTGAAGAACTAATAAGGGAACAGTGGGTAGCTTCTCATGTAAAGCTGCAAACGCAACAGTAACACGTCCAGACGCTAGACAAGGTGGCATGTCATTTATTTGTCCCATTACTAATGCCAAAATCTTAATGTTACGGTACTTTAAAGAATCATAAGTTTTGTTACGGTACTTTAGGAATCATAAGTTTTCCGTTATATTAATTATATTGCAGTTGTTGACTACAATAGCAACGTGCTGTTCTTCAAAACTGCATAGCATTTATTCACTGGTCCAAGACATCCACTATATGCATGCGATCATCAACAATCTCTTCAATCAAATTCTCTGATTCTATGTTTGTTGGTGGTCCTACGTGAAACTCGGTGATCATATTTCGTAGTTCAATATTTATTATAAATTAATTGGTAGCGCACACTACTTATTTATCCTCAACAGTGCAATTTTCTATTTTTTTTTTCCATTCTGAAAGTTCAATAAAAGAGAACTTGTTTTCCTCGTTGTGCTATATTAATTTGTTGTATGATCATGTGCTAATCCATCTGTTGTATACTAGAAATTCTGAAAAAGAGTACTAAAACATTTTAATAGTTGAAAACTAAAGTGAATATAGCTAATAAAGACCGAACCAGATCGATTCTCCATCATCCTATGGGGGTGGATAATCATGATCCAGACACGGTAGCGGATACTATATTATACGTATAATCATCATACCGCATAGGTTAAAGTTCGATCATGAAAGCCTTGTGAGTAAACACTAAGGGTCCAATTTCCCAAGGGCAAAACAAATTAAAAGTTTTTTTGTTGTGGAATTTTTTTGGGCAGAGGGTTGGTTAGAACTAATGCCAGTACTAGGGGGGACAAAAAAGGAGAAGGAAAAAGAAAAGAGGGGAGGAAAAAACTCCAAATTAAGGTGGCCCTTGCTGCTCGAGTATATATGTAAACACTCTTTACCCTCGTATTAGTAAAGCTAATTTTGTCACTCAATACGCTTCGTCGCCACTCATTCCACAAGCAAACAGACCAGCTGACGCTTGGATTCACGCCACAGGAATTTAAACAGCTTCGCCAGTGTCAAGGATACGCATTAAAGCTCTCTCTCTCCCCCACCTCTCTCTCTCTCTCTCTCTCTCGTGTCTCATAGCGTACATGTGCACCCACATGCCAATCTTGAGAGATGAAGCCGAGGTGAAATCGAGAAGGGAATAAAAAAAACAAGCAAGCACGCCGTTACGTAATATTTTGAGCACATGTGATGAGTGAGAGTACATCAGCATTGAATCCAGTTATTATGAGCTTGTTCTTGCTCACCCCCACACGATGATTTTTAATCTTCAGCGAGACCGCCCCAATCTGGCATTATTTCTCATCTAGGGGCGTTTTTATCAATTTAAAAAAGGGTTAATGGCACATACAAGTCCGTGTAGTACAAGGGGTAAGTCGCTTACCGTCCTTAAGGGCCTGTTTGGATTCGTAGAGGGTGAAGGGAAGTTAAGGGAAACTGAGGGAAGAGAAGGGAAGAGAAAGGAAGGGAAGGGAAGGGAATTCCCTTCCCCTTGGTTACATCCCAATTTGGGGGTAACAATTTTTATACTATTAGGGGGTGAACCAAGGTGAATTAACTTCACCTCCTAAGTGTTTCCAAACAAGGTGAATGGAGGTGAATGGTTCCCCTAACTTCTAACTTCACCTCCTAAGTGTTTCCAAACAAGGTGAATGGAGGTGAATGGTTCCCCTAACTTCCCTTCACCCTCATTCCCATGGAGGTGAATGGTTCCCCTAACTTCCCTTCACCCTCATTCCCCTCAATCCAAACAAGCCCTAAAATTTTATATGCTAACATTTAGACGTGACAGCCGGTCCCGCTATTTATCTCTATGTTATCTATATTTAAAGAGGAATTAAAAAAAGATTATTTTTGAAAAATAATGAACAAAACTGATACTTTTATGGAAATATTATTAAAATCGACTTTTTTTTGCCAACCGGTAAAAAAAAAAGTCGATTTTACAAAATATTGACTTTAAAATGCACGGGACCAGTAGTATCGTGTAATTAGTGGTCGCTAATTATTGTTAGTCTGAAATGGTCGTTGAAATCCTTAAGGTTTAATTAATAAGAACTAAATACACGGGACTAATACAAGGGACTACTAGTCACGTGTATTTTAAAGTTAAATTTTTGCAAAGTCAACCTCTTTAAGGTCGATTTTGCTATAATTTTACAAAACGGTCCATTTTGCTAATTATTTTTCAAAAAGGTCGACATCTTTTTTTTTTTAATTCTCTACTTTTAAAATATATATCGCCATTGTTCAATATATTTAATAGAAGAGACGATCTTTTTACTGTATAGTGAAATATCAGAAAATTTTTGGAAAATCTCTTTATACCAAATTGACGTCGTGTAATAGTCATATATATGAACATCATATATATGAGTCCCATGTAGCTTATGATACTAGAACTTCTTCTCTTACTCTTGAATTTAAATACTTCAATACAATGAATAAAATAGTCTCTTTTCTCCGAGAAACTCTATTTTTATCACCTAAATGGCTAAAAAATAATCCTGCTTACCACCAACATGTGCCTAGGTGGTTTGGATGTATCAATTTTAATCCAGAGTAACTGGGTTTGATTATCGAACCTGTATTTACCAGGTGTTATATAGAATTAAAGGTGGGCCTCAACACACCTTAGCTTTGCTTGGTTAGGTTTATTGTACAAAAGCTGCATTAGTAATTAACTCATTTAAAAAATAACCATGAAAATGTGAACACGGATTACTTTTTCTAAGGGAAAAACACGAATTACTTTCGAGATTACGAGGAAATTATTTTTCATGTGAGCCATACATTTTTATTATTTTCACCCTTTCATATTTTTCCCCTTAGATCCGATAGTTTCACAATTATAACATTGTACCCTATTTAAGTATTGCTTTCCTATCTTTAATTTAGCCATTTTCACACTTTCACCTTCACATTTTGGGTTTAATCAAACATCCTCTAAGCCTCTAAGGCTTCTAATTTTCGAAAGGCACCATGTGAGTGAGTGTTGGATAGCAAGTCGATCCGGTGACGATTATTCAACGTCGACGCTTCAGATAGCGAAAAGGCATCATGTGATTGATTTGTTGTAAGTTATGTTTTGTACGTAATGACATTGGTTTGGTTGGTAATTAAGGATTAATTAGCAGAGATGTGTTGGACTAAAGTTTTATTATTATTCGTTGACATTTCTCCTACAGAGCAATGTTTCCAAGTGGCCGCCGGCCGCCCCCACTTAACTTTAGCACTTCGTGTACGTGATTACGAATTGGGCTAAACTCAGTCGGAACAGCAATAGAAGTGTTTAAAATATACTTTTAAAATTTAGGGGGATAAAAGAAATTGTTACTTACAAAATTTAAT